TGTGTGGAACTGTTAATAATACTACTTAAATTTCTCACTTACCTTGAAACTTCTATCAGGCTTGCTATAAATCTGTTCTAACTTGACAGCAATGTTTAATTGAGTTGGTATTGAGATCAAACATTTGACTTTTTTTTCTTTCATTCTCTTTTTTTAAAAAAGTTTTGACTTGGTTGAAAAAAAGAACATGTTTTATTTTCCTCTTGGTGATGTAGCCAGAATATATATCCCAGAATTTTTAAAATTTGCATTAATGAAATAAAATATGAGAGTCCCCCACACCTTCCCATTATAATAGTGCATGTTTTTTTAACTGAACAAATGAGGGGGAAACTTTTTGATTGAGGTATGCAAAATCAAATTCTGGCATTTTCATTTACATGTTTTCCTGTTAAAATCCTATTAAAATTTTCAAATAGTATTTAGTAGAGTAGTCAGTTGACTAGATGGGCAGGGTATAAATGCAATAAATAAATAAATAAATATTTTTCCTTGTGTGAGCCACAACAATGCTGAAAGACAAATAGCCTGTTACAAATAAAGGAGTTTAGCAGCAGTGCATAGTACAAATACATTTCAGGGACATTAATGACAAATGCTGACTTTCCTGTAGAGTTTTTTCCTCTTGTTTCTTTTTCTGTAATTTATCCCTCCCCCCCAATCTTTATTTCTTTTCTTTTCTTTTTGTATGTGTTCCTGTATAAATAAGGGTTTTCAGTATACAGCAACAGTTGGCTCTACAGGATAATGAATCTTGGCCAGGAATGGTGGAAGCTGACAGGGACCATCTTCAGCTCATCAAAGAAAAAGAAGCTCTCTTACAAGAGCTGCAGTTCATAAGTCAACAGCGGCGGCCGCAAGAAGACATTGAACGTTTGGAGGAAGAAAAACGGCGCTTGGAGATTGAGATCCAGCAGGCTCGGGCCACTTCTTCTCATGGTGCTGCTGAAAGGTTTGAGACTTAGGCTTTATAGGGTTAGATGCTATGCAGTGTCACTACTTCAATGTTCTATTTCACTTATATATACTAAGCCACATTTTCTGAAGTCCCGGCAAACTGACATAAATAACAGTCTAATATAGATCTAGCCATAGCTATGGGAGTAATGCCAGTTGCAATTTCGCCTGTTTATTAAGTCTAATATAGTTGTTTTGAAAATCTATATTGGATTAGACCAGAAAACAATCTAATAATACACTCTATTTTCATCAGTAGCTTCTGCTGCCTTCACATTTGTCTTGAAAGCCCAAATGAAGGCAAAGTATAACCAAGGATACCCATTGCATCCTGATGTTAGCTAAGATTGTGATAGAAGGCTGCCAATAGTGTACCTGTAGAGTTTTCCTCATCCTGTATATGTTTCTGACTTTTTACTATTTTCACAAGATTAGCTAGCTTTCCATGCCGATGTGAAGCTTCTTATATCTGTTCACATATAGCTGTCAACTTTCCATGCCGATGTGAAGCTTCTTATACCTGTTCACATATAGCTGTCAATCACAAAACAGTGGACCCTCGACTTACAGATGGCTCCACTTACAGACTTTTCAAGTTATAGACTTCTCTGGCCGTAAAATTTAGGTTCGACTTGTAGCCGGAGAATCAATACTTTCCATGCCGATGTGAAGCTTCTTATACCTGTTCACATATAGCTGTCAATCACAAAACAGTGGACCCTCGACTTACAGATGGCTCCACTTACAGACTTTTCAAGTTATAGACTTCTCTGGCCGTAAAATTTAGGTTCGACTTGCAGCCGGAGAATCAATATACAGACCGGAAAAAAAAATGGAACAGAAATGGCCGGTTACGGATTAATCGGTTTTCAATGCATTGTAGGTCAATGGAGCCTCAACCTACAGACTTTTCTACCTGCAGCCACCGTTCCAATACGGATTAATTCCGTAAGTCAAGGGTCCACTGTACAGTGTGTGTTTGATGAGTGTCATTGTGTCTTTTTACGTGAATGTTCAAAAAATGTTAGGATGTCAGAAATCTAGACAAGAATTTTTCTCTGGAGTATGTCAGTTAAGGAGCATTTTATATAGTGTTTTTATGTAGTAAAAAGTTGATGTTACTCTATTATAGGATACTGTTACAGGAGAAGAAGAATTGTTTACTCATGCAGTTGGAAGAAGCAACTCGTTTAGCTTCCTATTTATACTCCCAACTAAAAAGGTTAGTACTTTGGGCAGAGCAACCCTAGGAGTTGCAGGAAGAGAGTGGAGTGTTGCATTGGCCACCACTCCTGAAGGCCTGCTGACTTGCACTGGCTAGAGTTTACAATGCAGGAGTCAAGGTGCAGAATCTTGCCTTTTTTTTGCAAAGGTGGTCTTCCTATAGGTTTTAGTGGGATGAAAAATGTCTGTGCCTGCGCCACACTTGTGTAAGGAAACAAATCCTCAAGCTTTTTGTGGGAGGAAGGAATTTGACTCTAGGAGATCAAAAGCCATCTTTTTCTGCCCTGGAATGTCCTGTTCTTGATCAGGAGTAGTTTTCTGTGGGATTACTAAGAACCACTGGTATAGATGGATGTCCGTGGTGGGAGTTTCTTTCCCCTGGTGGGAAGGACATTGATACCCATCTTAATCACCTGTAGACAACAAACTGAGGGGCTAGAATTCTAGTGCTAGTCATATCTGATGATGTTCTTTTGTAGTTCTATGATTTAAATTAGAGTGATTGTCATTTTCAGAAATTAAATATTTCCCCTTACTATCCTGCAGCCCCCAGTGGCTTCCCAGCAATAAAATGAATTACATGGAAGCCTCAGGAGCTTTGAGAAAGATGTTAGAAATGTTTAATTTCCTTTTTAAAAAATCACCATTGCTAATGACATCATCTGCGTTATGTGATGTAAGTTATGTCAGTGGGATTTTAGCCATTGTGTGTGAGGTATGTGCATGGGAATGCCTAAACACAAATTATACAAACTGAGATGAATCAGAAAAAGAAATCTAATGAGCAGCAGTCTGCCACTAATGATAATTTTGGTTTTTTGTTGCACAGGCAGATCTGTGCAACAGTATTTTGACCATTCAGTCACATGCCTGTCACTGCTTGTTTAGGGACAGGTTATGTTCTACTGTGAAGAATAAATCATTCTTAAGCATCCAATGTAATATTTAACAGAAAATATTTAACATACAAGGAGTAAAATAAAAACACCCTCAGACTTTGTAAAGTATATGTTGTTGTTTTAACTTGTAAGCAGCCCAGAGTAATGTGCACTAGTGGGGTGGTATATAAATCAAATACATACATATATACTGTATATAGTCAAGATGCTTTCAACTAAAGATGGCCCTATGAATTAATGAGTTCCAAAAGGTCCTGTAATCATTAATACTCCTGCTCAAGCTTCCTTCATGAATAAGTTATCTCATATTAGGCATTCTGCTTTTCCTGATGCTTTTGTTTTTTCCTAGCATTATTGTCTTTCCTCAGTGACTAGCAGAAAGTGGAGAAGTAAAAAAAAAAATTGGAGTTGAAAACAAAACTGTGGGAAAGACTGGCTCATTGGTGTATAATATTAAATAGGTATCAGAGTAGCGTGTGCTATCCTACTGATCAATGTCCTGTTGTCCTCCATTCGAGCAAACTACTTTCCCATGACATCTAAATTGGGAAGCAGCAGTTTTGCACTTGACATTCCATGCAGAGTTACAAACTGTGGTTTGGCCATGATTTGCGAGTCTGCTTTGATGAGGAAGTATAAATCATGGGCAAAATCCTGTTCTGTAAATTAAGACTGCATAAGGCTGATGATGTCACTGTCAGAGGGGGATTGCCAATGATTGAAGAGCTTTTGATAATGAGGCTTGCCTGATAACTCATTGTGGGTAAGCCACAAGGCTTCATGATTAAAGCTCTTTAATTACAATACATCATCATCCTTGTTCAGATATAATTTATGGAACGGGATTTTGGCAATAGGTTACCAGTAGAGTCTGTGTTTTGTCACAACTGAAAAAGTGCAAGAGAATGTAAAGAGACGAAGGAATATGTGAGGCAAAGGCTGAGGTTAAAACGCTGTACTGCAGCTAAAACTCTGCTCACGACCTGGGGTTCAAATCCCAGGTAGCCGGCTCAAGGTTGACTCAGCCTTCCATCCTTCCGAGGTCGGTAAAATGAGTACCCAGCTTGCTGGGGGGGCAATGTGTAGCCTGTATAATTAAAATTGTAAACCGCCTGGAGAGTGCTTGTAGTGCTATGGGGCGGTATATAAGTCCAATAAATAAATAAATAAATAAATAAATTTGTGTAATTGGTATTTATTCATTTAGGGGGAATTAGTCATTAATACTCTGTTTTCTCTTTGTGTGAAAACAGACTGTTCGTACATACTATATTTAATAATATTTCTAGTGCTAAACAAGGGGTTTTCTTTACCTCTCCTGTCTCTTGTAGTAGAACTTGAATGTTCCTTTACTTGTAAAATGTAATTCCATTTTTTAATTTGCACATTCTGAATGCATAATTAATACCAATGTCTATGTTTATATTTTAGCCTATCTGCCAGCACCTTGACAGTATCCTCTGGCAGCAGTCGGGGATCGCTGGCCTCCAGCCGTGGATCATTGGCATCTAGTAGGGGCTCCCTGAGTTCTGTCAGCTTCACAGACATCTATGGTGTTCCTCAGTATGAAAAATCAGAAAGTGCTGCAGAGTATGGGCAGCATGCACGCTATGATCCCGCTCCAGTTGATGCTCATAGCAAAGATGTACAGTACCTTGAATCTGTTGGACCTTCTAATAGCAGTAAGCAAAGGAGATCTTTGGATACTCCCTTGTCTTTGGCATCTCTGTCATCACGGTCATCTCTGTCCTCATTGTCTCCTCCAAGTTCACCCTTGGATACTCCTTTCCTGCCTGCTTCTCGGGATTCTCCTTTGGCCCAAAGATCAGAAGGATATGAAGATATAATGGGCACTGGTGCCTTAGAAGTATTCCGAGCTCAGGTCTCTAGCTTGGGTGAAGATAAAGCACAAGAAGCAGTGTCAGCTAAGGCTCCTGATTTTTCCACAAGCAGCGAAGGATTGCGAGAAGTAGGGCTGACAAACATTCCAAGCTCTGGAGGTAAGTTAATTTTTAGCCACATATTTTTGTCTTGTGGAATCTTGAAAACACAACAAAATGCCTGATATGCTTGTCCCATGAGTGGTTCATGTTTTAAATAACCATAGAGGCAAGAATCAACAAAACTAGCTGAGTTTGCATGGATAGATTGTGGAAATTCCACAAGCAGCGAAGGATTGCGAGAAGTAGGGCTGACAAACATTCCAAGCTCTGGAGGTAAGTTAATTTTTAGCCACATATTTTTGTCTTGTGGAATCTTGAAAACACAACAAAATGCCTGATATGCTTGTCCCACGAGTGGTTCATGTTTTAAATAACCATAGAGGCAAGAATCAACAAAACTAGCTGAGTTTGCATGGATAGATTGTGGAAAGCTTCATATGTGTTTACTTTTACAATGATTTCAGGATCATAGCTCCCAAAACTGTTTAGTTTCATTTTTTGATGTAATATGTATGTGCTTTTCTTTTTGGATGCAAAAATCTTACAAAACTTACACTACCTGTTGAATAACTTGTTAACTAACACAGGGTTATAATTCTGAGTTTGAAGGAAGGCAACTTGCCATTAAAGAGGCAAGGCAGTGGCAGTTACTTACTCTATGGTGGCTTGTTTCACATTTGAAAACTGTTGTTTTGGTCTGTCTTCGTGTGGTGGAAGAGAAGATCACAAATGTGCTTACCCTGATGCATGGTGCTGTGTTTCAAGCATCCTGGAAAGATTCCCATCCAGTCTTTTCTTTCTTACCATGAGAGAATAAATTTTGTGTCTTCTCCCTTAGTTTTGTACTGGTTTTGTTCATGTTGTTTTAAGCTCTCTTGAACACATATGGGAATAAATGTAATTGAGCTTTGCTCTTTTTCCATAGAATGAATAGTAGCAAATATTAATTGTGCGTGCATGCTTGCTTGCCTGCCTGCCTGCTTACTTCAGTTTAATATACCGCTCTTGATAGTGCTGTAGCACTACCCTGGGCGGTTCACAGTAAAATGCACAATCCAATAATTAATATAATAAAACCATAAAGAAAGTACCATTGAAGTTTAGCAAATTAATTGCCACTAATTTATGCCCCATTAATTGTAGCTTTCTTTAGATTTTGGCTTGTTTCCTTCTCCTCTTGCTTCTGATATTATTCTAAACATTCTAAAGTATACTTCTTAAGTTTATTTATTTATTTGATTTATACCCCGGCCATCTGGTCTACAAGACCACTCTAGACAGCAGTTCATTGCTATATTCTAATTGTACTCCTTTAAATATTTTTCCACATGTAATTTGGCTTCTAATTGTACTAATTTTTCTTGCAACTCTTCCTTATAGTGTCATCAATTCTTGTATTATTCTTAAAAATGAATAACAGAGTGTATAATAATGCTGAGTATATGGTAATACAGAGTATATATTTTTCCCCAAAGAATCCATATTGTTTTTCTTGACCTCCCAAGTAGTCTTATAATGGCCATCTTTGTCTAGACCTGTTGTGCACATTTAGTTTATTGCTGTTACCATTAGTAATCATTTTCCATTTCTGTATACTCCACCTGTTTATTTCTAAAAGGGACGTGGTGGTGCTGCGGGTTAAACCGCAGAAGCCTCTGTGCTGCAAGGTAAGAAGACCAGCAGTTGTAAGATCGAATCCACGCGATGGAGTTAGCTCCCATCGCTTGTCCCAGCTCCTGCCAACCTAGCAGTTCGAAAGCATGCAAATGGAAATAGATAAATAGATACCACCTCAGTGGGAAGGTAACGGCATTCCATGTCTAGTCGCGCTGGCCACGTGACAACGGAAACTGTCTACGGACAAACGCTGGCTCTATGGCTTGGAGACAGGGATGAGCACCGCCCCCTAGAGTCAGACACGACTGGACTAAAATGTCAAGGGGAACCTTTACCTTTCCCTTATCTAGATCAAGAATTTCTTTGTCTAATGTAGAATGGATTTGTAATAATGAATCTAGGTTGTTGACTTCATTTCAGGTAAATGAAACTGTGTTTTATCTACTCTACTCCTCCGCGTTCTGACACAGTTAATTCCTTTTGCTTCTTCCCCTTCTGTCCCTGCTTATTCTTCATATGCCTCTTATATTGTTTGTTCAAAACAAGAATATGGCATTCTTCTTAATGTTTTATAACATGTGATCCTTAATTGAACTGTTATATTGTCTATATCACACTTTAAATGATCGTGATGTTGGGTCATTTATATCAGGGATGGATAGAAGGTAAATTAGGGGCTACCGTTAGATCTGTGGGTTGTTTGCAGTTATTTGATGACCTGTTTCTGACTCTCAGTTATTCAACAGCAGCCACAACGGAATGGCTCTTCTTCCTACCACGTTAAACTTTCTTCAAAATAAAGAAAGAAACATAATGAAAATCAGGTGTGCATTTTTATGATACAGAATTATGAGTTTAGTTCTAATGCAGAAAAAAAAACTTCCTGGGCTAGCATGTTGATCCTTATTTTGATGATTATGATTCTCCTCCCCTCCCAAGATAGTCTTTTGCAATGTTGAGTTCTAGTTAAAGGCAAAATTCTTCATGCAAACCTGAAACATGCCTACTTCTGACTTAAATGGTATTGAAACTACATGACAGTTTTTTTTCAATGAGTGACCTCTACATGGTAAATACCATTTAAACAGTGTAGATTAAAATATAACAGTCTTTAAGGTGCAACAACATTTTTATTTTTTCTGCATTTTTAAATTTTTGCCTGATATAACATAACAATGGTAGAACTGGGGCTGATTATACATATTTTTACCATTTTATCTGGCCCCAGCCAGCCTATTCAGCATGTGGACAGATATGATTAGATCTCATGGTTTGGTTATTTAGACTTTCCCCTGGCTGTGAGCAGCTCCCATGTGGCCAGTTTAATGTTTAAAGGCTAGGATAGTGAATGAAGGGCACCCTTGTTAGCTTTTTTAAATCAATGCACAGAATGTGAAATGGGTGCCACCTAATGGTGGAGTGCTACAAAACAGGCACATTTTATATAATAATTCACTTGCTAACTACAGGGTCTATTTGATTTATAAGGGGAAAGTACTGTAGCAGATGTTGTAGGAATCATTTGTGTTTTATGGAGAAAGTCCCTGAACTGGAAACATTTCCACGTGATCCTCATTTGGTAGCACTTGGATATGTTGAGGACCTTTCTTAGGTTCAAAATTTGCTCATTCTTAAGGCTAATAAATCTTTATATTTTGCTCTTTCTCCATGATGGTCGTGGAGGTACATGGCTCTTCTCCCCATTTTTATTCTGGCAACAACTCTATGAGGTACGCTGAGACATAATAACCAGCCCCTGTTTTCCTGTGAACTTCATGGCTGAGGTGGAGATTTGAAACTGGGTTTACCAACGGAAACTTGTCTTCAGACAAACACTGGCTCTACGGCTTGGAAACGGGGATGGGCACCGGCCCCTAGAGTTGGACACGACTGACTAAATGTCAAGGGGAACCTTTACCTTTAATCCTTGTCAGGCAAGCCATTTGGTTAAGCCATTATTATTATTATTATTTATTTGATTTATACCCCACCCATCTGGTATATTCTACCACTCTGGGCGCCTAACAGCAACATATAAAATTAAAATAATATAAATCCATTGACATCGTTAATAAAAACATTTCAAAAGATATAATAAATGATAGATAGACGAGAAAAAAGAGTTACATACTGGCAGGAGGGAAGGCCTGAATGTAAAGCCATGTTTTTAATTGGATTTTAAATGTACCCAGCATAGGGGCCGCGCGAATCTCAGGAGGCCATGCAGTTTATGCAAGGAAACTGAGGCCAAGAAGATACCTTTTGTCAAGCTTGTCTAGAAGTTAAAGATATACAGTGGTGCCTCACAAGACGAATTTAATTCATTCCGTGGTTAATGTTGTCTTACAAAAAATTCATCTTGCGAAACACGTTTTCCCATAGGAATGCATTGAAATCTAATTAATGCGTTCCTATGGGCAAAAGAAGTCAGAACAAAATCAAATTTGGTTTACAAAGGGTTTATTAAGAGCTCTTTAAAGCCATACATATTGTGCAGATGATTTAAAATTTTTCAATCAAAAAACTCTGAAAAACATTTAAAAATCAGCAAGCATGAGACAGGAACAACAAAAAAAAAAAAACGGAAAACATTTGTCTTGCAAAGCACGGCCATAGGAACATTTGTCTTGGGAGTTATCAACCCCCACCCCCAATTGCCAAAACCATTTGTCTTGCGGGTTTTTTTGTCCTGTGAGGCATTTGTCTTGCGAGGCACCACTGTATTAGGTTTGAATACTTCCAGGATCCTTACTCACTATACTATGTAAGTTCTATATTGAATTAGATGTACGTACTAGATAACAGTTAAAATCCTGTTGTGCAGCTCTGTGTATGCAACAGGAATGATATCAGTAGCAGCAGCAAATTGCAGCTGATTAAAGGCTTCCTTTGACAAGTTTAGGGTGCGCTAGACTCATATGCATGATTCCCATTGTGTATACTTGGAGCTGTGCAACAAGATTTAAGTCAGTGAATATCTTTTCTTACTAAAGTCTTCCTCTGAAGAAGAGAAATTTTATTGACATGACTAGCATACCTCTGAATCATGTGGAGTCATTGGCACAGAAATATATCACCAAACACAGAAGCATGCATATTGGTTTGATCTGTAAACCTGAACCATATTGGTAGTGCCTGATAAGAAGCAGGCGCTTCAGGGATTTTATTATCATAAGAGAGATGTTGCCTGTCTCTCTTTCAGTTGATTGAAGAACGTTAAGAAACAGAGATTTCATTTGCCCCCAAATTAATGGCTGCTCCAGAAATACTGGGAAAAATGAGTTGAATTCAGTCCAGAAACATTAAGTAACTTGAGGTTGAAAACTTAAGTGGAGGAGCTAACTTGCATTTGCTTTAAGGAATCAGTGAGGCTTCCGTGCTTTATTTTGTATTTTGCAAAGTTCTGCTTATTTCTGTGGGAGTTGAGGCCAGTGATAATTGCTACAAAAATGGTATTGGATTTAAAACCTCCCATCCCAATGCTATAACATTTCTTTGAGTTGCAAAGCTTCAGATCATTTTAGAATACTTTATTTTTAAGAAAAAAAATAAGAGATTTGACAAATCTATTTCATTGTTTACTTAAATTATTCTTGTATTTTGTTTCTCATGTGGCACAACAGAAAACCTTCGTGTAAGTGAACCTAGAATTTTTTATTGTAGTGGGTTTTTTTCCTTCTGCCTGTAAAGCTGTGTATGTGTGATTGTGTATAATCCCTTGTTTTTGTCTTTTGTTCTGTTATTGTGTGCATGTTGAAAGGACAGAATGTGTGCTTCACTGGTTTCATTTAGGCTTTTATAATAGTTTTAATTTGCAGCAGTGTTAGTCAGTGGTGTAACATGAAAATCTGAAGTGCAGGGACTTATCAAGACAGCCCCCACAACCACACCCAGTTAAAAATGATGACATCAGTGCTGGATATACAAAATCCTGAAGTGTAGCAAACAGGAAATAGCATAGTATCCAGTTCATTACAATCAGCTGAAAAAAGTGCCGAAACATTGCTCCTTTTCATTCCTCTCTCAGTACACCATCAATTCAGCCAAATGGTTTTTGCTCAGTATTTGCTGTTGACTTAATTAAGGTTCTATCCTGCAGCTTCAGTTACTGTCTTCAATAAGCCCGTTAGCCTCTGGATCACAATGTCTAAGTATGTGGCAGTATGCTTATAACTTAACAAAATGGATTTTGAAAAATTGTCAAACTATTTGAAACCCAGAAAGTTGATAGAAGCTTACAGAGACCACTGCATTCTTAGATCACTGATGTTTCAAGTAGGAAGTTCCCATTGTTTATCTGATGCAGATATACGTACCAGATATGTATATCATATTAAATATGTATATGTATATCTGATAGCAAGGAAATAAAACATTTGATATTTTGGAATAGTGCTAATGTTATTTTAAATGCTATACTGCCTTTTCTTTTCCTGCTGCATGAAATCTCTTGTGCCTTTCATTGTCGCACTGTGTTCTGCATTTTTAGTAAAAGGCTTGTCCAGTTAGTTTATACGTACTTTAATGTTTGTGATCCTCAGGTATTTACTTAATCTGTAAGCATGAAAAAAATAGTGAGCTGAAACATTTGTTTCAACTCACTATTTAAACACTAGGGGTGCTTAACATGTTTATGTTGCATGTTGTTTGTTTTTATAGTACAGTACATTGTGTTAGTAAGTAGCCTCTTTTGCATGCTGTTCTGGTTTGTATTACCATTGAAGAAAATGAAGTTGGGAAGCATATTTTTCCTCTTTATTTTTAAAAAATCTTTGCTAATAGTGAGACATTTATTTTCTCTGTGATGAAAATGAATAAATGTCAAAATGTAAAATAGGAGCAAAGGAAACTGATAAAGAACATAAGAAGATCTATGCTGAGTCAGAACAAAGGCTCATAGGTCCAGCATTTTATTCCCATAGTGAGCAATCAGATGATTGTGAGAAGGACACACGCTGAACATGAGCATGGTTCTTTTTATCATCCCCCCTCCCACTCTCAGGGCTGATTTCTTCGATCCTGCATTTCACTCTTCTTTGCATGCATTTTAAATGGATATTGGTTCGAATATTGTAGAGGAGGCAGGGAGCCTTGGTTCATTAAGGCTGCAATTCCATATACTGTACTGTATAATTACATGATGCTGTAGCTAATTCCAACTTTTGGCAACCCTTCAGAGTGTTCTCTGGTTTACTCAAAAGTGGTTTACCAAGCCTTCCTTCTGGTGGTTCTCTGGACTGCACAGTTTGGCAGTGTGGAATGGAACACCCAACCTTTAAGCTTCGATCCACTTGGGGATAAGTCTTACTGACTACTGTGGAGAGAAATATGTAACGGATACATATTATACAGGCACTCCTCACTTAATGGCCAAGTTCCATTCTTTCGACTAGGTCGTTAAGTGAACTGGTCAATAAGTGAGGAGCAATAATATTGTATTAAGGGGTAATAAATCACATGCTGTTGAGAAGGGGCCTGGTGAAGATGCAAGCACGGATTTATGAGGGTCGTAAACCTGAGTGCCAGTCATTAAACCAGTAGGTTGTTAAGTGAGGAATGCCTATATTGAGTTGCTCCCACTGATGTTGTATGGACCAGTTGCTTGTTGATGAACTATGTATTTTATAAAAAGGTATTCAGCAAGGTAACTTTGCAATCTTCTATAGGACTCAATATATCTGTGCCCCCCCCATGTGGAATGAATTACTGTTAAATATTTTTGTCAGAATATATCCAAAATAAAATAATTGACTATTCAAATCACTCAGATCAAGGAAAACTAAATGCAACTAATTGAATTTGCATCCAAAAACTCTTCATGTGTTCTGTTAGTGTGCATGAGAATGCATTGAAGTTTTCTTGCAGCATAAAAAGTTGTATTCAGCAAAATAAGGTCTGCAACATGTAAGACACTAAAATACTAAGAAATGCACGGTTTGCTGGAAAAAGCAAAGTAGTCTTTGAAAAAAATATTGTTGTAGTCTTGTTAACGGACATTGACTTACTCATTAACGGACAACAGGTACATATTCATTATATAGCATGAATGCCACATTGTGAACATTACATAGATGATGTCAATTTAAGTATTGCTTTATAAACATATTCTTGTATTTAGCAAGATTTAGCATATTAATCTACAACACAGTTATTCTTGACTCTGTTCAGATTGCAATAAACTGCAAGAATTGTGTTTGTCTAGTCATGTGAGAGGCAAGCAGTCATGTGAGCAAAGATAAAGGTATACTTCACTCTCCATTGGAAACAGATGGCCTTAAAAGTGTTAACGACCACTGAATCAGGCCACGCAGTGTCTATTCTCTGAAAACAGTCTCTTAAAATTTGGATATAACCGTAGCAAGTTTAATTTTATATTTATATTGATGGAGGTTTTGGGTTTGGGGTTTTTTTTTTTCCACTCTTGAGAATGGATAAGAAAACCTTTAATTTGACCTTGCCTTTGCTGTTTTCCATGTTCCAGCTGTGACTCTGCGTGAAGATAGTGCTAGAAGGTCGGAGAGGAGAGCCAGGCGAGTTTCAGCATGTCTGTCCAATTATTCACTGGCTAGTGACAGTGGCGTATTTGAAGCTTTAAGCAAAAGGTCAGGTTGTATAAATGTGTTGTAAGTTGGAACTGTACTTAATTTCTCCCCTTAAAAGCAACAAGCGTAATTGGTAAAGGTCTTATTTTTATCTATTACTGAATATATCTAATTAATACCATTTAGCAGGAAGGCTTTTTACCTAGTTCTGTGTATCACTTTGGCTGCTGGCTGACCACATGTCTTCCTTCCTTCATTCCTTCCCTCCCTCCCTTAGCCTGACTTTCTTTCCCCTTTTCTCTTTCCTTCTTAACTTGCTTAATAACAGCTTTATGTTTTGCCGTTTCAGAGTTTGTTACATTAATCATTAAATATTTTAATACTTTAATTATTTTGAATTTGAATTTTAAAAAACAGTGTAACATAATGAATACAAGCTAGCAAATTATGAAAACAAATATAAAACATAATTAAAGATTGTAAAATGTATAAGAATACTTCCAGAAAAAAAGTTCTTTGGAAATAAAGAGTATATACCTTTAACAAAGAATAAAGAAAAGTATGATGGGTTTGTTTTCAAATAGCATGAATGGAACAAATTCATTTAGTGTTGTTTCACAGACTGTTGGACAGGCACAAGGTGAACTTTAAACACAGAGTATTTGGAAACTGTGTCTTGGGAATGCAAGGAGATCACAGCGTTATTGGAGCCTTTTTTTTAATTGACAGTTCAGCCCTACTGACTAGACTGGACCCAGTTGCAAAGCAGGACATATGTTTAGACAGTTAATTCAGGGTTTAAAGGGCCAGCGAGTTGTTTACAATGGGAGATGGCATGTAACCCAGTCTTTGAGGCTTTCTTTTTGTCCACGTGAGAGATTTAAGCTCCAACCAAGACACAGAATGCAGAGAGGAAGAAAAAGTAAAACGTTTTGTGCAAGTGTCACAGAAGAAAATGTTTCAGTTTTCATGCACAACTTTCTTCTATTAAGTTAGAAAAAGCCTTTCTGTGAACAAATAAGATTTTGACGAAAAAGACACATTTGAGTCCCAGCCAATGTCACATCTATAAACTCTGTTTCCAAAAAGAAATTTGTTTTCTTCTGATTTGTGCAGTGTACTGCTTTCCAACCATTATTCAGTTTTAAACCTTCTTGAGGAACAAACCCTATTTATCATTAAGTGGTTTAGATTGATCAGACATAACTACTAACACGGGAAAAGTGATGTAAATCAAATAAATTCCTTATATGCAAAAGATCCAAGATACAGTCCCTAGCACAAGGGTCAAGAAGCAGGCGATGGGAAGAAACTACCTAAACCTCCGCCAAAGCCTCTGGCAATCCATGGAGGTGATAAAAAGCAGACAAACAGTTTGATTAATCTGAGACACTTTCCTGTGGTATAGTTTAGATTGGGAGCATTGGAAGTACTGTATCCTTCTACCAAGTCATTTGTTTTTTCAGCATATATCTGAAGTGGTGATGGTGCCCAGGCTGGCACACATAAGCACACACCAATAGTTCATTTATAGAAAGTGTTAACATACAGGGTACTGGTTTTTAGGCATATGCCAGTGAATACTGTATTTCCAGAGATAATATTTGTTGGTATCTTACAGAGTTCAATAGCTTTTTTTGAAATTCAAATTTAACTTTTCATGGAAACGCAGTGTCTACATAGAAGCCTGACAAGGATGTGTTTTTTGTGCTGAGTAGTTCAGATAATTTATTCTAGTCAACATCACTCTAGTGCTAGCTTTTTAAAAATTACTTGTTTTCTTTATTATGCAGGAACGAGGATGCTGAAGAATCACTCTATAGTGATGCTGTCAGTGGTGATGGGCCCAAAATGCAAGTTGGCTTTTTGTGAGTATCTTCTGTGTTGATTGACATTAAGGGCTATAAGCTCATGTGTGTCAGAATACCAAGTGTTCTTCAACTTTTATAAGGATTTTGTTTTGAGGATCTTGATATCCATTGAATCAATATATTTTTAAATTATAAAATATGCATACTTTAGAACAGAAGACATACCACTGTGGTGGTATAGGAAAAATCGCTAGGTGAGGAACCATGTTGAAGTGGCTGACCATAAAACATACATACTGATTAATTTTGTCGATGACACATTAAGCATCAGCCACGTTACATTAAAAATGGTTCATTTCAATATTGTTGTTTTTAAGAGGCAGATTATTGACCTCTGAATTTGTGGAGGTGGTTATGAGGGAGACTCCCTCTTAAGCTTGGTGGATAAGCCCACCAACCCCCATTGCCAGTCTCCTTCCTCATCGAATATTCTGTAATTTTTACTTTGATCAATAACTGATTTTCACACGCCTTCTTAGTGTTCCTGGTCCATATAACTGCAATAGACTCATTTGAACAATGTGATAGCTTATTTTAGTACAGTAAATATATTTTAGATAAATAATGTAAAAGTATTTGAAAAATGACCAATGTTCATTAAGCTGTTTGCCTTGAGCCTACCCACCTTAAAAACACTTCTGGGGTCTCTCTTTGCAGGCATGACAGTGGAAGTGAATGTCTTCTGGTCCATGTGTTGCAGCTAAAGCATTTCTCTGGCTTTGCTGTGAAAGAAGGATGTAAAATGTAAGTGGAAATGTCTGCATATGAAATAGTGCATTGTTCGTATAAATCATATAGCAGTTAATATACAAAGGTCTAAATACACTTTTTAGTCCCAGCTGGGGTAGACCAGTGGAACAGTTGGATTTAGAACAAAGATTTGCACCCCCCTTTTATGTGTTGCAAATTAACATACTAGTCATGCAGGAGGGTAGTTTAAACGTGCAGCGATGGAATTGTTTTGGTCTACAATGATATTTTCTTTCTGCTGCTGTTTCCCAGGAATGACTTTCTTTTTGGATTTTTCATGTTTTTAGACATGTGAGAATATACCTACCATCTCTGGATTCAGGCACATCAACCACATTTTGTTCTAGAGCCTTGGAATTCCAGACTCCCTTAATATTTAATGAAGTCTTCCAGATTCCTGTGCATTCAAGTATTGGGAAGCTAAAATCACTACAACTTTATATTTGTTCAGTTGGTCAGAACCAGCAAGAAGAATTATTGGTAAGGGATGTCTTTATGTACAGTTTGGGTATTATGAGTTCCCTTAAACTGCAAATGAAATAAGTGATTTTCAGTTTTCTCATATCTCTGTTGAAAGGTTCCTTAAGTTGTAACACTGAATATAGTTTGAACATTTGAAAGGATTTGTTATGATCCATTCATCCGTTTAAACAGAACATTATTTTCTGATATATATGAAAGCATTTGGTAACATAAAAATGTGAATAAATAAATTCATGTTCTAATATCGTTTTCAGCCAATTATATTTGAGCCTAAAATAATAATGACATTAGATGGGGCCTTACAAGGCCATTGAGATCAATTCCCTGCCAAATGCAAGAATTCAAATTATTATTATTATTTATTTGATTCGTCCATTCTAGGCGGCTAGAATATCAATATTATTTAAAATATAAATGTTGGGAATTGTTGTGTAGCACTTAAACAAGAAATATTTACATTTAGACTATTCAAAGAAAAAAATTGCCCTAGCATGAAAGCAAATGTCAGACTTTGTTCCCTTGGGGGCACTGATGTCATTTGAGAAGATTATTGCAAAAACAGATGCCTCCCACTAGTGGTGTAAAAAAAGTATTTTTCATCCTTAAACTCTAAAAACAATTAAGCTTTTAGTGGACTGGCTACTTTTTTGACGAACATCACAGATAACAACTTTGAATGAGCATAAAGGGCTTTGTCACCTAAACCAAAACCTCAGGCCATGCCAAGAGAGAAAATTGTGTTCTCTGGTATTATTATTTTTTCATATTTTGTTTCTGCATCTTTACAGGGTATTGCTCAGATTAGCATAGCTGATTTTGAGAGTTATGGTGAGCTGCAACTTCAGTGGTACCCTATCCAGATCTTCACTGGTTCAGATCATGAACAGAAAAAAGAGAAGTCCAAATATGAAGAAGGTGGTTCTCAGATTTTAGAAAACAAAAGTGTGGTGAAAATGGTATGGTCATAGATGAGTTCTAACATGTTTTTGAAGGATGTTTGTATGTAGCGTGGAACTTAAGAGCATTTGGGCATAAAGTTAGGAATGAGGAAAGTACCCCTTTTATCAGAGAGATAATAGTATTGTATCGGAATGTGAATGCATTGGAAGGAACTCTGTTGGATGGATGAGTATGTGCTTATAAGTGTGTGCATATACAGGTAATAATGATGTGGCCTGCAGTTAACGTTGGTGTCCCTGATCATGCTGAGAGAATCTGAAGGATTAAAATCACTCTATGTCATAATTTAAGCTCCAGTTTAACTGAACCAAGCTGACTGTTGGAAGTAGGTTGAAATAACAAGAAATTCCAAGTCAAAATGTGGGATTTTTTTTTTTATTGAATCATTCTGGAACACTTTTGTCAGTTTCTGCTTATATGTGAACACAAGAATTCTTACTGCACCTTCGGAAGGTTATCATCAGTTCTTCTGTTCAAGGAACTTGCTAGCATTGGATTTGAATGTTCTCTTTTCCATCCTAGGATGCTGTAACTGCCCTTTTAGCTAGGACCACAGCACAGCTGGAAGCTGTGGAGAGAGAACTGGCAGAAGAGAGAGTGAAATTGGAGTACACAGAAGAGGAAATTCTAGAGATGGAACAAAAGGAAGATCAGTTGGAAGCAGTGTCAGAGAGGTAACTCTAAAAAGGAGTTAAACATGGGCTCTGTCCTGAAGGGAAAATAATATCGGAGTGGACAATTAGAAATGCTCCTTTGATTGTGGGCAGGTGACTTGTCTTGTTATGTTTGTTTCAACTCTGCTTTCCCTTGGAAACTGATGTATCCCTGAGGGCAGTCTAGAATTCTCCAGCCAATATGGCTGCCAGTTCTGCCCATACTTTGGTCAGTTTAAAGAATGTGGAAATAACCCAAGCAATATGTACATTTATTCCTATTCTTTAATACCTGTGGAGCTTATAAGGCACAGCTTTCATGTAAGTATGTGCTCACTTTTGATAGATGTAAAAGCAAATGTAACATGAATTACTAGAACTGGTCTTAATCACTTGTTTGGATCTGGAGGATATGTTCATATTGGATGCTATGATCACATTATATCAGTATTCTACCAACAGCCCTATCCAATTCAGAGGACAGTTCTTAACATTTGAAATCCTAAGTAGGATATGGGCCACACTCCCATAGCTACTGACCCTGGACCCTAAGTTTCTGATCCAGCGCCCTCCCTGTACCCTTGCCGAATGAGGCAAGACAGGTGGCTACAAGACATAGATCCTTCTCCGTGATAGCACCTTTGTGTGGAATGGGACCCTCGAAGAGGTTCACCTAACATCTACATTATTGTCTGTTTTGCTCCAGCTGTCAGCTTATCCTTCCAGGCATTTAACATCTTAGGAGCTTTAGATCTTTGTGCACTATTTTGCTTTTGACTTTATTTTGGTTTGATTTCTGCCTTACTTTTACCTCTCTCACTGGTTTTGTCATATGCTGCTTTTGTCACTGTTTACTTTTTAGTGTGTTACATTGTTAATTTACCTGTACATGACTCAGAAAATTCTAGTTACTGGGTGATGTCAAAGTGTAATAAACAAACAAACAAACAAATACATTTTTATCTGCAGGAGCTGGCAAGCAGAATCCGTTGATAGTGGATGTGGTAATTGCATGCAGACAAGTCCACACCCAGAATCCTATTGTGGTGAATCATTACATAGCCATATCTTTGCACCCCAGGCAGATCAATATACCTCTGGAAAAATCCATCCTCTACCTTTAAAGGCAAGTAGAAATAATTGCACTCTATTACAGTTTTTGCTCATCCTTAGCTGGAGCAGGTCTGGGATAGTTTTCCAACTTACACTTGCCCTTTTCTTGTCTCTGGAACCTTGCCCTTACTACTCTTATTATGATTCTTGCAGTGGAATGCAGTTCTGCCAGTCTGTAGATTTTTCTGTTCATTTAGTTTTTAACGGCCCTGAGCTCTTGGGGAATTATTGCCTTCACATCATTGCCACTGACAATACTTTCTTAAAATTTGTGTTATGGAAACTTTTTGTTGTCCTTCTAAAGTTTGTGTTGCCAAGGATTANAATATTTATTGTCATTGTAACTACTGTATTAACCAAATCAGAGTTTCATTCACCAAATGACTGTTTCTGGCCATACTTACACTTGCTACCTTAAAAACCGTAGGTTGCTTTGAAAAATATTACAATGGAGATTTGTATCATTTTATTTTGTAATTATGATTAGAGCTCTTGCATGCTTCTTTGATAAGCTGAATGAAAAGTTACTGAGCTTTCTTTTTGGAAGCTAAGTGTTGAAATATGTGTGATTTTTAAAATTCTTAATATAGGTGGATAAGGAGACTAACACAGAAGATCTTTTCCCAGAAGGAACAGCATTATTTCATAAAGCCAGAGTTGGTCGTCGATCCCGAGGCTCTCCATTTGTCCGTAGCAGCACTATTGTTCGTTCACAGACATTCTCACCTGGTGCACGAAGTCAGTATGTTTGCCGAGTAAGTAGACATTGTAGCTTGAGCGTATCACTTATCAAACATTATTTCATAAAGCCAGAGTTGGTCGTCGATCCCGAGGCTCTCCATTTGTCCGTAGCAGCACTATTGTTCGTTCACAGACATTCTCACCTGGTGCACGAAGTCAGTATGTTTGCCGAGTAAGTAGACATTCTAGCTTTTCCACTAACCTTTGAGCGTATCACTTATCAAAAGAACAACTGCCATTCATGTATTTTCAGACTGAATAACAGCATCTTCCACACAGCAAAGCTGTGGCCAAAAAAATGAAACAGACTCAGAACCAAAACGCAACCAAGCAAAACAACCCCCAAAACAAGAACAAAAAATACCCAGAAACCAAAAATAAAATGCAAGGAACTCAGCCCAGGACCCAGGAAAACTGTGTTCAGGATTTATTTTCAGTTAATGAACCTAGGCATGGACTAAATAAGTCTTTTTAGACACTGTATTTCCATATTGTATGCTATCCAGGCACTCTTCGGGGGGAAAAATTTAAAAATTTGGGGAGATGCTCATGCTGTATGGAAGCTGGCAAATGGTTGGATATTATTCCATCTACCACTATATATGCACACCGTTCGATGCCTTGGGGCTGAAATAGCATTTCGTTTATATTGTAATGGTTCAAATACTTATTCAGCCTTGAGGTGTCCACATTCCACTATATCACATCCATTCTGGTGAAGGGAAATGTGAAATACAGTTAAGCTATACTGGTAACATTTTAAGAAAGTTGGTTCTTCAAATGTTACTTTCCCTCTATTTTTTATAGATGCCGTTTATGTTGTGATATTCTGGTTTTTTTTTTCTATGTAGAACTATAGAGTTGCTGTTTGACTGGAACTCCCATAGTGCAATGTTGTGATTACTGGATGTATATGTACATGTTTTGTCAGTTATTGACTACTAATACCACCAGATGTTGTCTTCTGCCTTTTGGAAGCTGTTGGTGCAGCCTTCTGCTACCAGTTCTTGACGATATGATATTTGATATTACATTTGTTTGGAAGAACCTTAGCAGATCACCATTATGTGTTTCACCCGTCTGCCAGAGTCCATCCAGGGAAATGTTATATTCCCAACAGTTTATTTAGCACAGCTAGTAAAGAAAGAGGGCTTCTGGGGGACAGGTATGCAGAGAAGTATGGACAGAAAATTATATATCAAGTGTCTTGCTTAGTTGTTTTTCTCATGTACCCTTCAGATAATACTACCTTTTGGTTGGGGTAGGAGACAAAGATATGAAGCTTGACTTAAAGGCATCATAGTATGAATTATTAGCGTGGATAAACCAAGAGTGTATTAATGCAATCAAGATAACTGACCTAAAATTGTGCTAATTTCATTGTAAGTTATCAATTACTGCTTCTTACCTTTTTTTTGTCAGCTGTATCGTAGCGATAGTGACAGTTCCACCCTGCCAAGAAAGTCACCCTTCATCCGAAATACTTTGGAAAGACGTACATTGCGTTACAAACAGGTATATTTGTGAGGATAAATTTGTGAATGTTGGTGCTTTGCGTTGTTGAGGAATTTTTACAGAAAGAAGCTGAGTTGCAACTTCATTAGAAGTTGCAACTTCCTGGGATATGGCAAACCCAGGAATTGATGTAAGGCTGGTGACAAGCAATAATTTTGCCAAAAGCTGTTGACATTCATCCTTGAGTAATTCATGAATTCAGGCTTCATGAAACAACCCTGCCCTCAGCATTTTTTTTTCCTCCAAATTTTTGGTATGGAGTTGGGAGCTTGTTTTGCATAGACATACCTAGGATTGCATCAGATATCTGGTTGCCCTCTTCTTTCTCCACACACAAAAAAAGAGGGACGGGACATTTCTAAATGTTTTGGTCTACTTTTTAGTGCTATAGATTATAATTGTGTATTGTAGCCATAGTTATAAGCAGAGATTTCAAGATTAGACCCATTTTCAATGTATTCCTATTTGCTTAATTTACTCCATTCTGGTAACTAGATCATGCTTCTATTAGTATTGTCAACGATAAATGGCAGCAAAAATCTATTCTGCTGTCTCAAATTTCACTTACGAAGTGTATTGGAAAGGCTATAGATTATAATTGTGTATTGTAGCCATAGTTATAAGCAGAGATTTCAAGATTAGACCCATTTTCAATGTATTCCTATTTGCTTAATTTACTCCATTCTGGTAACTAGATCATGCTTCTATTAGTATTGTCAACGATAAATGGCAGCAAAAATCTATTCTGCTGTCTCAAATTTCACTTACGAAGTGTATTGGAAAGAAAATGCATCATACTAATAGAGGATTATTATTATTATTATT